CAATTCAAGCTATGCTACTGCAACTCAAAAGCTTTGGCTCTTTCCAAAAGGAAAAAAACATAACTGGGAAGATAAATCTTGCCCTTTCTAGCTTTCAAACAAAGGAATTAGAGAATCTAGGGGAGAAGAGGGATGAGAACAGAGGGGATGGAGCAGTAGATAATCTAGCCTTAATAAGCATAAACTGTAATTCAAGGAACACATGCATACTGGTTTTTATGTTCTGGTATGCTTGCAGTATTTTTTAATTTATTAATCTAGTTTTCATTTTCTAGTCCTCAATATTTTAGGGAGTTAAGGATATGACCTATATCTCTACAAGAGTTATCAGCTGGAGTTTATTCATTTATTTAAAAAGTTAAATGTTCCATTTAATCATGGTAATCTCAGCCTGAAAGTATCTCCATTTGTGGTGGGAGTGAGGGAAGTTACTAAGGGAATTTTAAATTAATTATACTACTGGGACGACCTATGTTCTCGTAGAAAGTATAAAGCCTTTGCAATCAGAACAGGTGTGATGTTTCAAAGTATAAAGCCACATGCTCAAATTTTGGTGCAATGAATACATTAAACCTTAGAAATGGCAGGCAGACTAATCAAACCTGTACAGGCTTGGTGACTGTCAGATCAAGCATGATAAAATCTTTACTTAAGTCCCTTAAGTTTTAAAAACATTTTTTGTGCGTGTATATGTATGTATGTGGATCTCCATGTTGAAGTCAGAGGGCAATTTATGGGAGTCAGATCTCTTTTTCCTGGTTCTGAAGTTCAAGCTCAGGTAGTCAGTCTTGGTGGCAAGGACATTTAGTGGCCGAACCATCTCTCTGACCTTGAAATCCCATTTAAGGTTGTTCTACTCTCTTGATATAAGCCCTGTGTTAGAAATAACCAAATTATCTTGAGAGTAAATGCTAGTAAGTCTTAAAAAAATTTTTTTGTATGCAAATGCACCACATGCATGCAATGCCTGTGGAGGACAGATGGCAAAATTGGATCCCCTAGAACTATAGTTAGTAGATTGTTAGCAGCCTTGTGGGTGCTGGGAGCCAAACCCTGGTCCACTGAAGAGTAACCAGTGCTCTTAACTATTGAGTCATCTCTCCAGCCTCCAAAAACTTTCTCTGAAGCAAAGCTGCAGGACAGTTTTTTAAAAAGTTAAAATATTTTGAGGCCTCTTGTGGTGGTACATGCTTTAATCCCAGTCTAACAGGCAGGCAGATCTGTGAGATGGAGGCTAGCCTGAAGCATGGTCTGCTTGGTGAGTTACAGGCCAACTGGGGCTACAGGGAGACCCTGTGTCAAAAGAAAAAAATGCAACTACTGATTAGTAGTGGCAGCTGAACTGTAGTTTAGAGACAGAGGCTCAAATTATAAACTGAAATTTCTCTTCAGATGATTTTGTAGTTTAATTTCAAGAACTTAAAAAAATTATAGCACAAAAGTATGGAACTTATTTAGCTTTTGTTAGGTAAACTCCATTTTCTTAGTCTATGTAGCCTCTAGGTGGAGTATACGGTAATGGCACCTTTTGAAAAGATTCCTTTGCAGCTTTGAAATGACTCAGCTTAAAATACTTTAAAATAATGGTGCCCCAATTGTGAAGTGTACCAGAAGTTGGTGTGCTTTTGACATCAGCAATGTGATTGTTCGAGAAGGATCTCGGTTAAAAATGGAACAAAGTTTGTCTTCTATGAATGGCTGGTTCCGAACCATCCAGTGTGGTGGCCCTGTTACAACATCCTCAATCATGTCTTCCTGGTACAGAGCTCCCTCCTAAAATGGAAGCCATCACTTGAGAAATACCTGTAATACGAAAACCTTCTAATGCCTAAACCTCTGCTATGGAGTTGAACTGGAATGATTCATGGGTTTTCTTATATTTGCTCATCTATATAGAAATTAGCACTTAAAAATAAATTAAAAAAACAATAAAAAACACTGTTGGATTTGGAAAATGGGCCTGATGGTAGAAATGCTTTTAGGAGCACCATGGCAGAGTATCCAAATGGAGTTTAAACTTCTATTATCAGTAGCCTATTTGGAGATTACGAATAAATTACTGATTTTAATAAATGAGTGATCCTTCAAACATGCCCCACATGTAAAATTTATGTGCATGTATTTTACATATGTATTAAAACAACATCAAGAGCCGGGCATGGTAGCGCACGCCTTTGATCCCAGCACTAGGGAGGCAGAGACAGGTGGATCTCCGAGTTCAAAAAAAAAAAGGGCACATATTGAAGTGCTGGTTGTGGTTGGCTAAAGGACTGTGACTACATTTTTTACAACTTTTAAAAAGTTTACTGTAATAGGCATATAGTGGTCTTATAATTAAAATTAACATCTTACAAAATATATTTCAGAAATTAAAAACAGATTTTCAAATGAAAAAATATTGCCTTACATATCGTAATTAGCCTAATACTTTTAGTTCATTTTATTAAAATACTTCCAAGTTCCAAGATGTCTCCCTATTTAACTAAAACTAATACTAATGAAGTTAAACTTTTTCCCCTCTAAAATTTTGAAAATGAAGCACTGAACTTTAATAAAATAGTAAGAAAAGCCAAGGATAAGAAATTGTCACGTTTTCACTAGAATTCTGTATTACTGCACTATTTCTCATTTTGAAGACCCTAAAACGTATTTGAGAAAGACAGTCGTAAAAACTGTTGCACTAACATTAGGACTTGGCTTTTTATTTCCTAGCCCAGGTTCGTATTTCCTCCTCTTGGACAGACTTATTTTAACTGGATGTCTGAATAAAGTCTTTCAGACCTCTTAGAAGCCTAAGGTCCAGTCCTGGGAAAGGTTTAAATGCCCTGCATCTGCTCTAGCGTGAGATGAACTTCCTAGCTCAACAGTCTCTTCTGGGCAGATTTCCGCCACAGGGAAAGGCGTCCACGCCGGTTGGAGGCTGCGCGCAGCATCCCGGGCGCCAGCATCCCGGCGCGGCGCCGATCCGGGGGACCGCGGGGAGGACGGCAGCCCCGGGGTAGCCGGGCGCCGAGGGGCCGAGCCTGCGCCCGCCGCCCGCGCTGGTTGGTCGAGGCAGGCGAGAGCGGCGCGAGGACAGCCTCGCTCTCCTCACCGGGCCGCTGGGCTGCCGAGGCCGCACGACCCCCTCGCGTGCCGCGCGAGCCGCGGCCGCCGAGCGCCTCCCGCCGCAGACAAAGCTGACAACATGGCTCCCTCCGCCCAGCAAGTTGCTCCAAGTTGCGCGGCGCCGGCGTCCCTCAACTTCAAGTTTCCCTCGCACTGACGCCCGCCCGCGGCCCACCCCGCACGAGGCCCGGCCGGGAAACTTTAACGTCCGCCGCCGCAACTGACAGCCCGGCGCCACTCACCTTCAGACAGGTCCTCGATGCACTCGAAGGTGATCTCAAACTGGAACGGGTTGTAGAAAGGCGACGGGTTATCCAGCACCACTACATTGTTCACCTGAACCTTTGCCATATTTTGAAGAAAACACAAACAATGGGGCCGGGGCTGGCGGCAGCAGAGTCCAGCGCGCGGCCGCTGGAGAGCGCAGACCCCTGCCCCGGTGCGGCCCGACGTTGTGCAGCGGCGACTTGAGAAACTTTTTTTTTCCCCTTTTTATTTACACGGCGGCACTCCTCAGTGTTTTGCAGCTTTCCTATTTCACTAAACTACAGCCCATTCTGCTCCGATAACTAGCAGCGTTGCCCGCGATTGGCTGCCCAGAGCTCTGACCCTCCTCCTCCAGCGAGGGCCTCGGTGGCGAGCAAGAGGGGCTCCCGCTCGGGGAAGGGACTCAGAAACTTTAACTGCGGCTCCACCTGCTGGTGTGGACCAGGACAAAGGCGCAGAACAAAGTGAGTGGAATAGGGGCTGGGAGGCCCGCGCGGAGGCCGCCGCCAGCGGGGGGAGGGGCGGCGCAGGCCACGCCCCCTCCCGGCGGGCCCGCGCCTCACGTCGGGCGTGGCCGCGGCTGGGACGAAGGAGGCGTGGTCGTGGCGGGGGGGGGGGCCGGG